TAAAAATGAGATAATAAAACGAAGTAGTAAGAAAACTGAAAGTTTTCTGTTCATAAATCGAACGCAATCTATCTCTTGCGTAAGATATCTTCTTCTTATTCTAACGTATAAGAAAAATAGGAAAAAAAAACCACGCGATCATCAACGAGAACAACCAGTCCTCCTCATTCGTGAAGAAACGGAAAGGAGACAAAAAAGATACGTGTATATATATATATATATATATATATATATATATATATATATATATATATANATATATATATATAAAGAACGATGGAAAAAGTTCTATTTCTCTGAGCCGATATCTCGAGATACGATGACCTATGTTATCGTTGACGTCAATCTCGAGTCGAGTCATATCCGAAAGTCCGTTTGAAAAAAAAAAAAAAACGGAAAAAGAAAAAACTGCTTTCCCCCTCCTTCACCCCATCGTCCCTAGAACCATCCATCCCTTTCCCCTCGAAACGATCACGACTACGCCAATGCGCGACGAGTAGGACGTAGAAAGAGAGACGAAAGGCTGCCACAGAGAATAGAATAGAAGAGAATAGAAAGAGAAAGAGAGGATGGCTAACAATGGCTGCCAACCAAAACATCCGATAAATCTAACTAGCCCGGACCTCAAGTCCCGAGGGGTTTTAAACTCTCTCACCCTAAACGCCGACGCGGACGCGCAACCCTTACATTACGCTACACTCAGGGAAAAGGGTGGCACACCGTAAGCCCACCACCATCAACAAAACACATACATACGCACCTCTCGAGTGAGGTTTCTAGAGTGAGTCTATGACATGTGAGCCCACGAAAAAGCGAGAGAATTTCTCCTTCGATTTCTCACTCTCTCCTATCTCTCTGTTTCATTGAAAACCCCTTTTTTGAGGTAGAAAGGACCAAGGTTTTCTAACTAACGAGATCACGAAAAGGGACACGTGTGTGGATGAGACCAGTTTTGTGGTCGTGTACCCGATCTCTCTCGAATTTGTTTCGCGGCCTCGTCCTAATTCGTTTGCTCTCTCTCTCTCTCTCTCTCTCTCTTTCTCTCTGTGTGTTTGTGTTTCACTCTTTTAAAGCTTGATGATCTCTTTTCTGGCAATCGAATGGAACACGAGCATTCAGGGTGTCGTCGGTACGTAAACTCTCAACGTTATGGTCCACCTCCTCCACCTCCTACTCCTCCTCTTCTTTTCTCTCTGCGAATATCTTTAGAGGAAAATAAAATCGTTCGAGTTAAGATCGACCTGGTTTTCGTTTCTTTTTTATCGACGAAATAAGAAACATTTGGATGTTGTTCGAATACATACGTACGTGTTCCTATAACTCGAAATAACATAAGAGAGTGTGAGAGAGAGAACACTGCGTGTGTGACTCTCCTTCTTTTCGTAATAATAAATGGTGAGACGAAAATATGTCGTCGGAGAAGCGAGAAAACGTAGGCGAGTAAGCAAGCATGCATTCACGCATAAACACACACGTGTTCACGCACGAGTATAATACAAGAAACTCGATTCTCTTTCTCAAGAAAAAGAGAGAGAGAGAGGGAGAGACATATCAAAAAATCGTACGAACAAAAATCATGACGGTATGCGTGAAATTTTATAAATTTAACTAAAACGTAGGAATACTTTTTATTTTTCTCGATAGAGTTTAGGATATTTACGTCAATCGTCGTATGGCACATGCGTGATGATCATCCGTCCTAAGAGATAATTTATTCCTTGTCAGGATTATAAAATTAGTCGTTTATAGCGTATTATAATGTATCGAATTTTAATGGTTCTCTCTTCTCTCCCCACATTGAATGTGTGTTCATAAATCTTTCATCAACTCATATGTTACATGAAATGAATATATGATCCTCGTAATTGGTAGTTACGGCTGATTGTAAAAATATTACAGAAATGCCATTGTGATTAAATTTTCCTTTTTTTTTCTTTTGTTATTTTTTATTTTTTATTTCTTCTTCTTTCTTTTTTTTCTGGATAATCACATTTGATTAATGAATTAATTAGAATAACGTCGATCAATGTGGTTGAGTAAATTAATGTTTTTTTTTTCTTTCTTTCTTTTTTTCGTAGACGTAATAACTCGTGACTTTGACTACTTTTAAAATCATTCGTAACCTATTTAATTATCAATTCACGTCGTAATTCTTACTTTCATTTTATAGTTACGATCAACGTCTCTATAGTTTTATAAATCTAATAAAATTCGTTTAAAGAAACTATGACATAAAGAAAAAAAAATTGGGAATATTAACGAATCATAATAATTAATCGAAATTGATATGGTACACTCTCTAGCATTAGCATGAATTATAATAATTCTTGATTCTTGAACGAATGATCGTAAATGAGTGAAACAACTTCGAAACACACACACACACACATACTCATCGAAAGACATGAAGGTTGAGAGGTATGGAATAGTTAGAGGGATTATGGTCGAGAAATATTAGCTAAGACTTACATGGATAATCTTATGAAATCGAAATAACCGATTGGAAATAAATAATTATATATATACATATATACATATATGTATAAATATCACATTCGAACAGATTTCTACAAATATTTCAAAAGGATTACAAATTTGTATAACATTTACGGTATTAATTTTGCAATCGATGATTTTGTGAAGAGAGAGAGAGAGAGACAGAAGGATCTTTAACGGGAATATCTCATACAATTTTCAAGAATCTATAATCTGAACATCTGTAGAATTAAATTATTATTTAAATGAATATCAGAATATCAGAAACTAACCGTATATTTTCTCTTTAATGCTAAACGATTTATCTACTTATATAAGATCACAAAATTATTATAACAAAACGACATGAAAAGAAAAGAAGAGAAAAAAGGTGCAATTAGATTAAATTCAAGATATTCATTTGAGAAGATGAATGAGTTTGATCAATAAACCAATTAAACAAAAATTGATAAAAATAATTTTGAAAAATAACGTACACAGCTTACAAAAATAATGAAACCGGAGGAGAAATCAGAAAGAAAGGAAGATGAAGGAATAAAGAAAGAAGAAAAAAAAAAGGATGAAGAAAGGAAGGAAGGAAGGAAGGAAGAAAGGAAGGAGGGTTTTCGTTCGGGTAGAGTAGAAGCGGTCTTTCTCCTCCTTGTTCCGTCCCTCCTCTTCGTCCTCCTCCTCCGGGATCGGCCGTGACTCGCGCGTTCCGTGGGCGGAAGGAAGAGGAGCCAGCAGACGAGAGGAGAACGAGGAGACTCCAGAAAGAGGACAGACAGGTCGGCCCGAGAGAGGAACTCGCGGCTGCCATGGTTACCGTCGCAATCCCGCCTCGCCTCGTTGCCATGGAAACGCCACACGTCTCTCGCCCTCTCAGTTTCTCTCTCACACGCACATATACACACACAGAGAGAAAGAGAGTGAGAGAGAGAGAGAGAGAGAGAGAGAGAGGACTAGTACGGCAACCTTCTCTTCTTCTCTTTGCACGGGCAGAAGGACCATTCTCTCTCTCACTCACTCTCTCATCCTTTACCTTTCGAAAGAGAGATGGATATATATATATGTGTGTGTACTTATACTTACGCAGGAGGATAGGATGAGAAAGAAAGAGGAAGATAGAAGATAGGTGCGCATGCGCATGCCATATATATTTCCCCGTCTTTTCGTGATGAACCTTTAGGTACCCGTCGGAATGGCCCGATTACTCATTCGATTACTTATCAACGAGAGAAAGTGCTCATTCTCTATCCTACTTATTTCCCCCTTTTCTTATTTCTCTAAGTTTCTTCAAAAGATTCCCCAAATTTTTCGTTGCGACTCTTCTTCTTTTTTATAATCTACTGTCATGGATTAGTAATCAAAGACAGACTAGTAGAGTAAAAGAAAAATATGTATTTAAACATTAGATAATTAAGATGATGATCAGTTCAATTAATAAAAGTGTGGGTATCTTTTGAACATTGTATTTGAACCCATCAAATTGACAAATCACGTAAAACGCTCAAAGTGTGTATTCCTATGAGATGATATACAAAAAAATGTGTGTATAAAAAAAAGAAACTATGGAAATAAGTAAAACCCAGTTCCCTCCCGATGGGTCGAATCTATCAAGCGAACCTTCGTCGCAATTACGAAGTCGGAATAATGATCATTATTTTCGTGCGATAGCAGCTGCTGCTGCTGTTGCTGCTGCTGTTTTGTATTATACGTGTGCGTCACCGTGCTCGAGAAATGAAAGAGAGAGAGAAAAGAGAGAGACACAGACATATAGATAGAAAGAGAAAAAAAGAAAGAGAGAAAGAGAGAGAGACAGAGGTGTAAGCGCCCTGTTTTATAAGCCCCGATTCTGATTGGCCGTCGCGTCAGCCGATATCAATATTTATTCAACGCGGCGAATGCTCGAGGCACGATTAAAACTTGTTTATGCTACGTTCGCGATTCGCTCCTCCCATCGTTGTGCCTGTGCGTGTACAACTCGCCCTCCTTCTCTTCTTTTTCCTCGTCAACAAGAATAAGAGAGATAGAGAAAGAGAGAGAGAGAGAGAGAGAGAGAGAGAGAGGTCTCTTTTGCATATAGGTATTACTACGTACACCTACGCCTCCCCCCTTTTTTCCCCCAACCGTCTTTTTCCTATCTCGTCGAACGTACGTGCAAACTAGCACTGATAATATTCCCATGATTAATGGCATCGAAACGGAGAGTGTTCACGCGCGCGAAAAAATGTCGTTAAGTGTACCAAGATGTATGTATGTATGAATGTATAGAAGTTTATGTGTGTTGTTCATATAGGAATACGAGTTTCATATATACATATATAGTTAACTCTTTCTATCTAACTTGCGAGGGTTGATTGAGATTGATACCAAGCTGTTTCTTCAGGGTGGCTTGTTAACTTAGCTTTTGATATGCTTCAGATACCCCTATGTATTTTATATATGTATACATATATATATGTGGGTGTGTTAATATGTATATACATTTGAATGCACATTTTTTTGGTTTCTTATAAACTTACCGGGACTGCCGAGGAAGACGGAGGAATAAAGGACCCCACGACGCGCAGCATCGCTCGCCACTCTTTGCGCATCCGGCGGCGAACTCCATTCTCTACGCGGACACCATTTTCCTGTTTCAAAAAAATTAACACAATTTTATTATTATTATATATCCTTTTTTATCTTTCAAAAATATTTTTATTATCGATAATTTTGTATTCATTGATTTGCATCAGAGAGTAGCCAATATTATTTTATTACATTTTTTTTATCCCTTTAGAGATTAACTCCTTTGAATATATGTAGATATTTTTATCGTGAAATTATTTATTAGATGATAGTTAAAAGAGCTGGATAAATGAAATCATTAGTAAAGCTTGAAATTAATTACCAATATATTTTATTCAACGTAAACAACACGTACGTTCACATCGGAGTCTTGTAGAAGAAAGAAACACGAGATCATCTTATAGCTTAAGCAATCTCACGGTCACGTGATACACAAACACACAAACACATCATAAGAGAGGATTCTTCTATGTTTGCCTCGCACTCACACACTTATTTACATTTACATATTGAACTTGGTTTAAACTTGGCGAAATTCAAAATAAATTTATCATATATTCTAATGAAAGATATCAATTGAAACGTATTGATGAAAGAACAAACAAACAAAAAAGTAGGTGACGAAAATGATATAACTTCGTTTAGTTTCTTTCGTCCCTCCTCCCCACCCCGTACACACCGAGAACCGGAAACAATAAAGTCGTGATAAAAATAATTGAATAAGCGCCGCAAAGAGCACGTCCGATTACAGAGCGTTATTCGTTCGATCGTTTATCCGCCTAACGGTGCAGCACGATAAATGCATCGCGCGCTTATCCGCGAACGAGCGAAAGTCCGATAAAAAATTTATTATCACGGAATAAACTCCGAAGCGACGTGCTGTAAAGTAAATAGAAGTTTGCTCGCGTATGCAAGAGAGAAAAAGAGAGAGAACGAGACAGAGAGAGAGAGAGAGAGAGAGAGAGACAACATTTGCTTTTATCTCCAAATTTATATTCGGGGACTACACGAAACGTAAGTTTAATCGACTTCTCTTTTTTAATGGACGTTCGCGATGAGATTCGTGAAAAAAAAGACTCGTGATCGTAACATTTCGATTAAAATAAATAAAAAAATATAGTTTATATTATTCCAACAAACTAACCAATACCTTGTGAGTAATCATCACTGTCATTAACTTTATTAATTCTTATATAATTGATAATAATAATAATTATTATTATTGTCTACTAAAGAAAAGATAGAAGAGAGACGAGAAGGTAAGTGCAATTTTCCGGATGCGAAAATAGGAAAAGGCGTCTACTTTATTTCCACGTAGATCCCGAGCGAATGAGGATACACGGTAAGAAAGGGTGCCACCGTACGGGATAAGAGTAAGCCACGGAGCGAAGTAATTTCGCAAGGAAGAGAGAGTGAGAAAGAGAGAGAGGGGAAAGGAAAAGGTCTTGCTGGATGAGAGAGGATATAGTCTTATCTCTGGAATATACCCTCCTATCTCTACCCCTTCCCTTTTCTTCCCTTACTCACTCATTCTCTTCTATTTCTATGAAAATTATATCCTTAATACGTTCGCTACCACATGTCACTTAGTTAGACACGTACGATGTAGCAACATTTCTTGTGACAAGCCGATGTCTCAAATACACACACACATACACATATATATATATATTTAACATTAAACATGGGAAAGTATTATAAAAAATAAAAAAAAAATCCAATTCCCTTCGTGAATGATGGAATGCATGAAGGAGCGTCTTTATTATTCCATAATTCTCTTAGAAAACATTGATTAGATGGTCCGAAGAAAATGATAGGCCCTTAAAACTCGGTTGTTGCGGTTAAAGTAGGTGGGACAATTCGTGGTCGAGGGTAAAATGACGGGTTATGGCGATTATTTTTGAATCACCGGAGGCAAACATAACAGCATAAGTACAACATATGGATGATAGTAACTTGTTAAGAGAAAATCTATCTAGCACCATATGTGGTATGATTTTACGTAAGATATGTGAACTGTTAACACTCTATTGAATAAAAATAAAGACACACACATAGATGCAACTATTCTTAGTTTGATCGAACAGGAAGGTAACAACTGATATCGATGTGGTGTCTGTTTTTACACTTCTCTTGAAGGAAGTTTCAATATTCTGTCTCCTTTTTCTATATATATATATATATACATATGCATATCTTTTTCTATCTGGTATTAGGTATATACAACGTCGAGACGAAAGAAAGAAATAATATATCAGGATTATATTCGAAGACGTTTCTTCGTCTGGTTGGACCAGTACGAGCACGCCGACCGTGCGTCACCGCTATTTCGAGATTCCACTGAACGAGTAGAGAAAAAAAAAAAGAAAAAGAAAGAGAAAGATAGAAAGAAAAGAAAAGAGAGATACTTTTGTATACCTGTAGTAAGAATCCTAGGGCGATGAGAAAAGATTTATAAGCGTTCGGAGACAGCTTGTAATCATACGCTTTGGGCCCATTAACCCCACGAGTTTTGATTTACCGTGGGAAAATATGAAAAATCTTTCTATTCTCTAGCGTAACGTAAGTAAGCAAGCAAGCATGTATGTATGTATGTTAGTAAGTAAGTAAGAGTCTAAGTACTTAGATATATCTCTCAAGAGACTCATACAAAATTCTTCCAACAATTATTCTTGATATATTGAAAATAACGATAATAAGGGTGTTTAAATTCGATCATAAGTTTGAAAATATTTTCTTATTAAAATTGCCAATTTAAAATCGGTCTTTTACTGCACGCGAGTAAGTTTTTAAATAGTATTTCTCGTCTTTTAAATCGTAAGGATTCTTTGGAATAACCAATTGATGAAAGAGAAAGAAAGAGAGAGAGAGAGAGAAGAAAAGAATTTGAAGAAAGAAAAAAAAATAAGAGAATAAAGGGGATTGAGAAAGAGAAAGAATTAAGAGGGTGGAGAGGGAGAGAGGGAGGATTTGCTAAGTGGCATCAAGTGAGACGTCTCTTTTGAACGATCGCCGTGGCTAAATTGCGAGTTAACTTCGGTCTACGGGTTCGCGTGTTCGCGACAGTCATGCCACGCGCCCGAGTCATGTAGAAACCAAGACCAAGACCAAGAAGAAGAAGAAGAAGAAGAAGAAGATGAGGAGGAACGGAACGGTCGAACGGTCGGGATGGATAGCAGCACGATGACCACGTCATCATCGTCCAAGCAACCCGACTATCGCTTTACTTTTGCATCCGAATATCCAACTTGACGTTTATAAATTGAAATGTAATTCGACTGGCACGCGACCGACTTCTTCTCTGACTTTTTTCTTTCCTTCTACCCCGTTCTTTTCCTTCGGATTATTCATTTTCCTATTCCCTAAATGATACACGACGAAAATCCAAAATTTAAATGGTTTATGTATTGACACATGCGTGTCATTAAATATTGGCTGAAAAATGACTTGTGTAAATTATATTGATTTAAGTTTCAAAGACAAAATTTGGTACAAAAAAAAACAAACCATGTATGCACAAATGTCCCTAAACCTAGTTTAATAGAAAGATTTAGGTAGTACTCAATAATCTTCTCAATAACCCTATCAGAAAGAGATAGAGAGAGAGAGAGAGAGAGAGGTTGCTTCCTTGATATAAATAAATCAATATAACTTGCTTTCACCCTCAGACGCCGCCCTCTTTCGCCGTAAGGAAGTGACGTATGAGGCTCACATCTTCAAGACGAGGGTTGAGGAGGCAAGCCTGTTATTTCACAGTTAGGCTTGTCCTCCATCTCTCTCTCTATCTATCTGTATCTTTCTTTCTCTTGGTCCTATTCGGTCCCTAGTCCCGAGACCTGCGTTTCCAGTGGAGCACGAGTCCCACGGGAAGCTTTTGTCCTCGAGCTGTAAGCGACTTCCTGACAGGCCAAGTTTGCACCTGCTCTCCTTCTAGTTTCTCTCTCTCTCTCTCTCTCTCTCTCTTTCTCTTTCTTACTATCTAACGATCTATCTTTCCTTTTCTATCCTTTTCTTCTTCTATCTATCTATCTATCTATCGATCTATCCTTCTTAAGCTCTATCTCTCTCTCAACCACCCACCACCACCAGCACCGATGTTGCAGACGCATAATTTATTCGAGGTTGGCACCCTCTTTCTATATTTTCTTTCTCTCTTTATTTAGGACGAAAGTAATCCTTAGATCAGCGATCGGGGATAAACGAACGGGCGTTGAAATTATTTTCTTCTCGCAAGATTAGCTAGGTAAAGCGGATTTAACATTTTTTTTTTTTTTTGAAAATCAACAGAGAAGTAAAATAATATAAAAATAAAACGAATAAGAGAGAAATGTTTCAAACGTAAACGTAAGCGTCATTTTGTCTTTGGTAAGAGACAAAATGAAAGAAGATGAACGGAAGAAGAAGAATAAGAAGAAGAAAAAGAAAAAGAAGAAGAAGAAAACGGGAGGTGGCCTCCTCGCAGATGTTCGAGGAGAGTCGAGTGATTAATGACGACCGATAAACGTAATTTGTTGCGGGACCGCGGCTCGTTCGCTCGGCTCGTCTTTCGAATTCAAATAGATAAACAGGACGCGCCGGTACTCCGTAACGAGCGCCGCGCGAAAGGATCGAATTCTCTCGCCGGCTGCTGTCCACACAGAGAATCCGAGAGGACAACTCAAAAGAGAGAGAGAGAGAGAGAGAGAGACAAAGAGAGAGAGAGAGAGAGAGAGTACTCGAGCATAGTAATTAATTGTATGCAGCACGCCGCGCGATTTTCGCTATCTCGCCGACTCGGTCTCGAGTGTGTAACCACCTGACTTTCTCTCTCTCTCTCTCTCTCTCTTTCTCTCTCTCTCTTTTATTACTTCTCGTGAACAAAGATTCTTCTTTAAACTAAAGTCATTCCTTTTTTTTGTATCTCTTCTTAGTTTCCAAATAAAGTATTGGAATTATTAAAAGAATATGTTTATTTTTTTCCCCTCCTGGTAGGTTTTCTTACTCGGAATTACACAACCCATTGGTTTACATTAACGAGCGAATAGTAGCGTACAAGAGACATAATTGTAAACGAATTGGTGGG